TACTCATCTCCAGCACTACAACAGCTCAAAGGCATCAATTCTCCTTCTATCATCCCTAGTCACTGTCAAGCTTTCTGATGCATAGTAATTAATTGTGAAAACCATGGCCAGGATCAAACTTATCTCTATCTCTGTATCTATATACTTAAAGGACACTTTCTGGTCACTAATGGGCAATGATAGAAAGAAATACAAATAGAATGCAACCCCATTTTTTTTTTAAATCCACAGTTTCTGAACCCAGTGATACATGAAGAATTTGAAATGGTTACCTTGAGATTTTCTTTAGGCCTCAGATTGAAATTATTCCCTGATGTTATCATGTAGTCAAATAGCATGCTATCTAATAAAGGAACATTATCTTTTAGCTACTGGGATTGGTTCTTTTAAGCAGGAGATATATGATGCACTTTTAATTTTTAAATGTTTCATTGCTTTTCACTCATAAGCAATGTGTTTCATTCATAAGTATTGTGATTTATATAATTAATTAGAGTTGACCAGTGCCTCTTATCACCCTGTCTCATATAATATCCTTGCCTTTTACCACTTTGGAGAGGTCCTTGACAGCAGGTTTTCCCAGGTTTTCTTACCTGCTGGTACATGGGTGTTGATTGTGAATACAAGTATAATGAAATTGTTGACAGCTTCAATCTTTTCTTTATCTATCATGATGTTTCCATGATAATGGTGAAGATTTTGTTTTCTTGATCATGAGCTGTAATCCATACTGAAGTCTTAGATTTTAGATAGTAATTGTTTCAAGTCCTCTTCACTTTATGCAAGAAAGGCTGTGTCACCTGCTAACACAGGTTGCTGATGAGTCTTCCTCCAATCCTGATGACAGATTCTCCAGCTATAGTTCAGCTTCTTGAATGATTTGCTTAACACACAGATTGAATAGGCAGGGAGAAAGGAATACACACTCTGATATACAACTTTTCTGACTTTAAACCATGCTATTCTCCCTTGGGTTTTTTAAACAACTGTTTCTGGTCCATATATTAGTTTTACATGAGCACAATTAAGTGTTCTGAGATTCACATTCTCAATGCTATCCAAAATTTATTATGTTACGCTCAGCCTTTGCATAGCTTAGAAAATACAAGTAAACATCTTTCTGTTGTTATTCCTTATATTTGTAAAAGGTATATTCTCTGAGCATTCCATGTATGAGTTTATGGGTCTAAACTGATAAATTTACTCAAACATGACAATTTCTCTAACTTTGTGGATACTTTCTTCTACAGTATACCAAAGAAGGTATAGTACTTTGATTTGATTTATTATAGGTCACAACACAATCCACCCTTCAGTGAACTAAATGAATAAACCATTTCTTAATCTCCAGAGTAAAAATGTTGAATGAAGAATTAATACTTGGTGGACACAAATCTATAAACTTATAGTGATCCAATTTTATGTTCCTTATATCATTATCTCACACCCTTAATGATCATCCTCACATGTATTCTCTAGGTTTCTGTTTGTGCATATTAGAAAAATAGGATCATTTTTTTTGGAGTGGAGTGTACACACTCCTGGGTCACAATTTACGTTTCATTTTTTGAATCTCACTAGAATTTAACTCTAGTTATGGGTCTATAAGCAAAAAATTGTTGGTAAGGATAGCTTCCTGTAACATTAAGCAATATTTTATAAGATGTCTGCCTCAGAATCTGCCAACAATTGAAATCTCAATGATAAAGAAAGGTGGGTGTAGGAAAGCTGATTCTATTGACAGCACTGACTTAATGAAATTTAAAGGTACAAGGCCACAGCTTCCTGATTATCCATATGTTATCATGGCCATATATCCCCACCAAAAGCTATTTTAATGCATGAATCCTAATATATTATTGATAACATTGTGAAATATGAGAATTCATATTTCACTTAATTTCACTTAATTGTGCTCATGTGAAACCTATACACAGACAAGAACACAAAGGGGCACTGAATGGTTTAAAATCAGGAAATGTGTGTGACAGAAGAGTATCTTTTCTCCCAAATTGTTCAATCTGTATACTGAGGAAATAATTCCAGAAGTTGGACAATATGAGAAGAGTGTGGAGTCAAGCTTGAAGGAAGTACTCAACAATTTATGTTATGCAGAGGACACAAACTTTCTTGCAGAAAGTAGAGAAAAATAGAAGCAATTGCTGTAAAGTGTTTTCAATATGGATTACATTTCAACATCAAAACAAAATTCCTCACCACCAGACAAACAGGCACTATCATGATAGATGGAGGGGAGAAATTTAAACTGGCCACAATTTCATTTTACTTGAATCCACAATCAATATCCATAGGAGCAGCAGTTAAGAAATCAAAAGACATGTTACACTGGAAAAATCTGCTGTCAAAGGTCATTTTAAAATAAGATCGATCAGGAACCTCACTTTGAGAGTAAGGTGCACCTTCCTCAAATCATGCACTTTTCATTAGGAAAAACCAAACAAGAATTAGAACCCTTTCATTTAGGGTGTTGTTGCACAGTGTGGACTGGCAAAAAAATGAACACATTTGTCTTGGAGGAAGTACAGCCTGTATACTTCTTAAAGGAAAGAATGGTGCTGTCAAGAGGCACTAGTATTTGTAAACGTAGTTATTATTTTTATACACCAACTCTATTTACATGCCAGTGTGCTTCCAGAGTACATAAATTGCATGGGAAGAGATCTCCCAAATTTCTCCTGTGGAGCACCTGGTGAATTCGAACAACATGCCTTTGGGTTAGCAGCATAGCTCTAAGAGTATCAGTGAAAAAGAGGAAATCCTTAATAAGATGGGTTGATGCCATGACAGAAACCATGAACTTGAACATGGTGAATATTCTCAGGTAGTGCAGTATAGAGCAAAATTTAGATCTGTTGTTCATAAGATTGAAATGAGTCATAGATAATTCAACTATATGTGTGTGTATTGTTATTGTTGTTGTTAGGTGCCATTGAGTTGAGTACAAATTATAGTGACTCTATGAATGTCAGATCCTCCTGTGCCAACCTCACAATTGCTGACACATTTGAGCCCATTTCTGTAGTTGACCTGGTTGAGGATCTTCCTCTCTTTTGCCATCTATTCATCTTCCCAAGAATTAATGTCCCTCTACAAGGAATAGCCTTTCCTAGCAACATGACCAAAGTATGTGAGATGAAATTTTATCATCTTTGCCTCCAAGAGGCACTCTGGCTTTACTTTCTCCAAGACATATCTGTTTCTTCTTTTGATAGTCCATGAAATATTCAGTACTTTTCTCTAACAAAAAAAAAAAAAGATTTGACCATTGGAGAAATGAAATAAAGAGTACACAAGATCTATCTTTTTTCCTCTCATAACTTCATATAATTCTATATTTCTCAAATAAGAATATGTTAAAGAAGTCAACTTAATACTCCATGAAGCCCTGCTCTAATATCTCCTTATTAATTAGATGTTAGCAACAAGTTAGATTTTTTTATTGTTGTTTAATATCTTCTTGAGGGAACTCTGGTGGCCAAGTGGGTCAACTCAAAGGTAAACAGTTCAAATTCACCAGCTGCTCTGTGGGGAGAGATGAGCAGTCTTCTATCCCATGATTTACAGTTTCTGAAACCCATTGGTGGGCCAACTCTGTGAGCTGGTTCCAATTCAACAGCATATAACAATACAATATCTCCTTATTTTCTATTGACACCTAGTGTCCTCATATATTTGACACTTCCCAACTTTCAAACGTGGAACTTAAAAACAACTTGAATTTTCCAATTATAGAATTAAGTCATCAAAATCAAACAAAGAAGTTATCATGCTGATCTTTCAGACACTGTGGAGTAGTAGCATATTTGAAATAAGTTGATATACACTTCATCTTAATCTATTTGAAATATGGAACAAGGTTAAATTTTTATTTAGGATCCGTATTCCCCAGGATCCTATATGAATATTAATTTTACTCTGATGGTTGCAAACCCATCTATGAAAATTGAGGTCTTTAATGTCAATATCACTGAAACTGATCCTTTTGAAAAATTCTAAATTGATCACTTCCTTGCTTTCCATGAATCATATCTTCAGGTGGTGAATTTGCTTTACTCACTACCAATGTTGTTTCCCTATGAAATGTAGGGTTTATCTCTTTCAACTAGGGGGAAAACCCTGAATTACTTGTTCCTTTAACTGGTTTTTCAGCTCTGGTGGCCTAGTAGATAAAGATTTGCACTGTCAACCCAAAGGGGTTGGTTCAAATCCACGAACTGCTCTGTTAAAGCAACATGGACAACCTCCTCCTCTACAATTTATAGCCTCCAAAAATCCACTGTGAGTCAGCTATGAATTAGTTCTAACTTGACGAAAATGAGCTTGAACTTTTCAATCTGTTTAGGGAATTCTAATGGTATAGTCCATAGGGAGTTGTGCTGCTATCACAAAGGTCATGCCTCTCTGGCAGTTTGACTCAACCAAAAGCTTCATAAGAGAAAGATGGACAATTTTATCTTGTGTGATTTACAGCATTAGTCACCTATGAGTTGGTTTCGATTCAGTAGCTATAAGTTGGCGGTTTTGTTTGTCTGATCTTTTTAACTTGTTCAGAAAACCACTTTCTGTTAAGGGTCTGCCCCAAATTCAGAATTTCTTAATCAGGATCCTTTGATACTTCCAGGTGGTTTTGGAGAAAGACTAATCCCAATATAAGAGACTAGACTAGTCTTTTGGAAAGATTTATAGACTGGGCCAGGCAGAGAATGTGACTTTTATTAAAACATTTATCTCCAAGCCTTAATATCCTTGCCTGTAAAATTACTGATGTCACTACTCCAAGCTATTTAGTGATACCTGACTAGATGAGAAAGTTACAGTGCTACAGTATTGGCTACACTGTTCCAAACTTTACTATGGAAGAGAATCCACTCTCTAAAATAGTTTGCATTCTGCCCTGAGTAGTGATCATTTTGTGATTTGAAAAACCTTTTACTATCTAACTTATACCCTTTTCCTTTGATCTCTAATTTACTCTATAGGTGTGAACTCTGCCCGCTCAGTTCCTCCTTCCTACCCACCACCGCAGGACCCGTTAAACCAAAGCCAGTACCTGGTCCCAGATGGCATCATGCAGTCACAGGTCTTTGAATTCGCCGAACCCAAGCGCAGCCAGTCACCATTCTGGCAAAACTTCAGCAGGTTAACCCCCTTCAAAAAATAATACCTAACAGGGTACAGATAATTTTAAAATAAAGGAATTAAGTAAATAAAAATTATATTTATAGATGGACCTTTTTTCTGAGAAGTATTGTTGTGTGTGTGTGTGTGTGTGTACATATACCCCCCCACAAAAAAACACATAGACCTTTGAGTATGTATACACACACACAGAGAGAGAGAGAGATTTTTGTTGTTTTTGTGAAGTCTATCTATAATTGATAGAAAGAGTTATCAAGGACTTTCAAACATGTTTTAAAGTCTTCAGTTTTACCCTGTCCCCTTCCTTCTTTATTTAAAAATATTGATATTTCTAATTGTTCCTTTTCTTGTTCTGATAATCTATTTGCTCTCTTGTGAGTGATTTGCTGACTTGTCATTATTACCATAGATGTGTTTGTATTGTTTTTTCTTTCCTGATGATATTGATACTGATGACTTTAAATTAATTTAACATGGTAAAGTTTGGGGACTTGGATTTCTCTTTTTCCTCTTTCACTTTTCCTGGGGAGGGGGGTATACCTTTTTTCTCTCCCTTAGCTGACCGTCTGCAAATGTTCCTGCAGCATACAGTTGCTCCTAACAGCTTTTATTCCTAGAATCCTCTGTCCTAAGTCTTATTAGTCTGAACATGCTGTGTTGTATCCAATAACAACTTCTTAGTATTTTTACTGCTTTCACTGTGTTATGAGTGTTGTGGAGGGATCAAAACAAAACAGAAACGAAAGAGTGTCAGAGTACAATGATTGTGGAACAGACTTCTTTTCATAGAATATTCTGCATTTATGCTGTTTCTTTGCCTAACACTAGAGATTCCACCTTGCAGCATTAGCAGATCATTGCAGTCTAGTTTGGACCAATGATTCTCTTTTTGGCTATGAAATTCTACTGTACTGACCCAGAAGCAGATTTGGGAGAGAAAATTTTCTGGTCCCCACAACCAAGTGGTTTTACAGCTGTGTTCTCCACAGCAAGCAGAGCAAGAACCTGGTTATCCTTGCTTCTATTTGCAAGGGTTTTTTCCCCTTAGGAAACACTAAAAGGAGTCTATAGAGCATACAAGACAGAACATACAGGTCAAAGATCATTAGCTGCCTTCCAGTTACTGGCCCAGACAAGGTCCATGGTTGACAGTCACATCTTACTGGAAGAATAAGAATGGACATAAAAATAGAGAGCTGTAGCACAAGATAGATATCTGCAGTACCAACAGCTCCATTTATGTGAAATTTTCCTTCATTGTTAGCAAATTTCATGGACAATCTTCCCTGCCTCCTTCCTTGTCCTTTCTCTGCCTTTCCTCCTCCTATTGGGGCACAGAAATATTGTTGAAATTGGCATAGTTTAAGCAGTTCAGTCATTCAAAAAAGGCCCTATTCCCCAACATCTTCATGTCCCAAGACATTTGAGGCAAGTAAGCCAAGGGCCCAGGGACATGCATCCCTGCAGAGAAGGATCTGATGCATATGCTATTTATTCTCAGGCTTATTTTTAAAAACTTTTCCACTAGGCAAAACTCTTCCCACAAAGAAATAAGTTCTCTCCCTATGAGTGCAGTAGTACTTCTTCATCCTCACTTCATAGCCTTTTTGGTGAATAGGCCTTGAACAACAAGAAGAATGTAGTTAAAAGGAATGAGGTTTGGAGTTTTTTTATATATATCCTAGATGCCATGGGAGAATATTTTATCATGAAATGGCCCCAGCTTGTGAATAAGCAGATACAGTAAGATCTTTCAACATAGCCAGTTTGGTTTCTTCTGTATACTTCCTGAACTAAACTAGACCCTGCCTAGCCTAGGAATATTTCCTCTCTCACCACACCCAAGTCTGTGTGAGTAAACCAAAATTGTGGCATAAACTAAGGATCAACCTGATCTGGGCAGAATGTCAGGGCTAAGAACTGGCCAACACATATAGCACACAGCCTAGCTATATAAGCTCCCTTGGCAAGGTAACGGTTATCAATACCCAGACTAAAATCTGATAAGCAGTATGTAGATCTCCCTTTAGTATATGCTCTTTTCTTCACTTTCCTCCCCTAGGTTCAACTTTGACATATTTCTCCAGGGGCTAAGGCACACCAAAAGAAGATGCTTAGACAAGTCCTTGGTCTACCAAGCCAAACATGTCTTGATCAGTCCCACCTCAACCGGGGCCTGAGCCCAAAGCCCCAGGCCAGGGCTATTACTTCCTGATGCCTACTTCTGCCCACCTCTCATCCACTCAACCAGCTAAAAGATTAGCTGGCTACTAAATGCCAATAACTTTTGACAAGAACTTGATTTGCTATTTGTTGAAGTGGTCCTTCAGCTTGTAGGAGCAAAGTGGCCAGCACCTAAAAGGAAACTCTATTGCCTAAGTTCAGTATCCCAACCTGTGTCTTAACAGCAGTGCCATCTCTTAAAACTGTAATTCTCCTCCATTTTTACATGGCTCTGAGTTCCAATTTCCTCAACTAAATGAGACTTAGATATTCTAGCCAAAAGGCTTATAAGTGTATTCCATAGACCCTGTTCTCCTGACAGGGATATCTAGCTGTTCTTTTTCTCTCTCCATTTCTCTATGTTTATATCACTAATTAATATAATAGGACAGCAACAAGAAGGTTCTAACAGCTCTAGTGTGAAGTCAAATAGTGATCTTTTAGTACTTTAGGAGGGGTAGGTGGGGCTAGGATAGATGGATAAATAATTGTAATTTTGAATACCCCTGCTGCTCTGCATTTGCCAGTTTACTCTTTTGTTTCTTCTGTATGATTATTTGACTCTGTCAAACAAGTGTCAAAGTTGTATGTTTAAAAAAAATGTTTAACAGCAAAAGAGAGATATTGTAATGACACAACGCCTTATGAAAATATTTATGGAGTTCAATAAAAGAAGTAAAAATACACTTCCAAGCATAGTTCTCTTGTCATTTGTGTGTGTGTTGCCAGTTGCAAAATAGAGGGTATTTACTTGGTGTGAGAAGAATGCCTAAGAACTAAGAGGACAGCTTATCTCAATATTGGCCTATCAGCCCATTGCCACACATTCTATGGCCTAACCTTGACATTTCATGCTCTGTCTTAAAGAGTGAAGTATTATGGCTCTGAGATCAGTTATGAACTTTTATGTCTAGGTTTGGGGGGATGCCCACTTTTGAGCATTGAAGAACATGATGATTAAACTGGTGACCTAGAGGGTATGGAGTTATGCTACAAACCCAAAAGCAACCAATTCTAATCAACAAGCTGCTCCATGGGAGAAGATAGGCAATATCCAGTGCAATTTATTGCCTCTGAAAACCTTTTCTTTTTTTATTTATTTTTCTTCTTTTTTTTTTTTACAGAGGTTTTGGATTTCCATTCATTCATTGCCGCAATTTTCTCCCTTCCCACCCCTCCCCACCAGGTTGCTTCCCCCTCCGAAGAGAGAAAAAAAAAAAGAAAAAAATTCCTTCATTAGTATACAATTCCCA